TAAAAGACTCAATTTCTTGATTATTTTTTACAACTCCTCCAATCAATATATATCAGTTTATGGATCTATATATCAGTTTGTGGGTCTAAATTGGGAGGATTACAACCGACAGTTAAACTTTAACCGATCCCCCATCATTTTTTCGTCAATTATTTCTGGTGACTTTGCCACTCGATTATTGCAATTCTTTGGCCTAGCTAAAAGAGAAAAAGAAAATGTGCTTGTCATCGACACACCAAACTTGAAAAATTTTCATTTTTTGGCCCTAAATACAAAAGAAACGTTCCCTTTTAATTTATGCTTAAACAAAGAAAAGGAGAAGTCTTCTCTGCTCAACTTGGCCATTGATTTGGATAGTTTTGCACCAGCCACCTGCTTGGCAATAAAATTTTCTTTTGAATTGAACTTGCGCCGATTAAAAGAAAGGTTACGTAACCTATCTTCATCCCCGCCTCCTTATTGTGAAGTGATGGAAAAAGTCGCTCTATATAATCTGAAAATTAGCCATAATACTTTAAAATTTCTACAATCAGTAACGATGGAACCAGCACCAATTAAAGAAAAAGCCTCGACAACAGTGACTAGTACCCCACCTTCTAAAACAACACGGTGTTCATCATGTGTCAGCAAGGGAGTGCCGCAGCCTCATGGGCATCGAGCGTGTGATAAAGCGTGTCCTTATTTTTCGGAATGGAGACAACAGCAGAAGATTAAATCTGGTAGTGTGCAACAACAAAATCAACAAGCCGCTTTAGAGGAAGAAGAAGCCATCGCCAACCTTATAAAAACACAACAACCGGAACAAGAGAAACAACAACAACATAGTTTGGAAAATGAACGGGCCCCAGTGGAAACAACACGTGAAATGGATCAAGAATTAAAGAAAGGTGTGATGCGGGAAGCTGCAAAACTCATAACCAGTGCCCCAGGATGTGACCCGTTGGAAGAACTGGCTTGTGTAGACGCTGATTTAAGTTCTAGTGGAAGTGTTGACCAAAAGGACTTAGCAAAATGGGCTATAAATCGACTTCGTGAAAGATTGGCATTAACAACTAATGAAGTGGTGGAAGAGCTGGAAGAAGAAAATGTTAGTAGCGACCAACAACACGAACGACAAGAGGCACCGGAAGAGGATGAAGGCTTAATTTTTAGTGAATCAGACAACGGACAAGCGACCCCACCAAGCGAGAAACAAAGCAGCAGTCAACAACTTTCTATAGAGCGTGAACGACAAATCAACGACAAAAAACGACTCAAATCTTATCGAGATCGAAAACGTGGATTTCGGGATGCTAAGACTAAACCTTCTCAACTTGCAATGGCAGCAATTGAGGGCAATCGAAAATTAAATGAAGAAAACGCAGCATTGGCTCGTGACCCCAAACGACTAGAAGCAGCTAAAACCGCGCATCGTGCAGCCGTCAAAGTGTTGAAGAGGAGAGGTGAAACAACGGACTCTAAAGAAAAAAGATTGAAAGCTATCGAAGAAGGTCCTGGTTGGCGTTATCGCACATTCTCAAAACTGCCTGACAAAGGAGGACTTACAGAACGTGATCCGAAAACAACACAGCTATTGCGTAAAGAAAAGGCAGCAGCACTACGAACCGCAGATTTTTATTTGAAGAGAGCTGAAGAAGATAGAGTGGGTTTGGCAGCACTTCTACCGGAGAAAAAACAACGAAAGGAAAGTAAATCACCAAGCCGTCATCGTAAAAGTCGTTCATCAGAGAGACAACGTCGACGACGAGATAGTCCGCTGGTAGAGCGTCGCCCCTCACCAAAGTCTCAAAAAAGGGGTAGTAGCGAAAGGACGCGTCACCACCACCGCCATCATGCAAAACAACGTAATGTAGCGACCAGCACCGACGACCTAATCGTAGTTAAAGAAAAGAAGAATCCACCACCACCCCCGATCAAACTGTCTATAGTGCGGGGTCATTCCATCAATATCGTCTCTAGCCTGCCCAACCCAGCCACATTATTATTAAATGCTAATGAAACAACACGTCAAACTGCCATGCACCTTCTCACATCCACAGCTCTCTACATGGCTCAAAATCTTCCGTCTGGTTCTTCAATATGGCCCAAGAATGAAGAAAAACGGGATGGTTGAATATTTATTTTTTTGTTATGATTTTGGGGATTTTTCTAGGCCGGGGGGAGTGTCGCCAATTTTGGCGACTTTTCATTGAATTGTCTCTTTTTTAAATTGTCCCCCGTTCACTCCTCGTTAATTTTTTAGCCGTTCACCCTTTATTTTTTTCATTGTCCACTCAATCTTTTTAAACCTTTTTCCCGCCAAAATTTTTTCTCTCTATTTTTTAGTGACAGTTTGCGCCTGTCACAACTTAAATTTTTCCTATTGTTTTTTCCGATTGTCTTCTCTGCCCCGTTCTCTCTACACATTTGGTTTTCTATAATCTATTAAGCATTATTTTTCAAGTTCGCATTTTTTGAGTTTTTTGCCAAGACCCGCCCTCTTTTAATCTCTATTTAAGCCGAGGATCAGCCCCCCAAAAATTACCATTCACCTCCAGTTTTTACTTTCAACCGCTTCCAGTTTTCAATTTCAACTCTCATCTTTTGGTTGGCTGATCCGCGGCTTCTACCTTTGTTTAATTAGTGCTCGATTTATTTTACTGCTCTGTTTTTTTGGCTATTATTTTTTGTGGAAGAAGTAAATTTATTGTTGACTTGTCGTTGTATTTTGTTTGAGTGGAAAAGTGAACCGCCTCGAGGTTCACTTACTGTTCTCCTTCTGTTATTTGACTGTGTTGGCACAACCAACACAGTCTGGTGCCACGATCCTAAAAATCCAATTTGTCGGGAAGCCCGTCTCCCGACAGGATCTGCTAGATGTAAAAAAATTTAAATATTAAATCTTTTGGTTTTATAAAAATAATATAAAAAAATAATCTATTAAAAATAATTTTTAGTTCATCATCATCATTATTCACCAGGCGGTTCAGGTAGTAGTGGACGTAGCCGCCGTAAAGGTTTAATGACAAAAGTTGGTTCGGCTCTGACCTCCATATTACCTTCAGCAAAAATAAATAAACTTTTAGAAAAATGTGATGAAAATATTTCACCTTTGTGGAATGAAATACTTTCCAATCGCAGAAAAATTCGAGATTTTTACAAGGCATTCTTTAATTTTTAATATAATTTAATTTTATAAAATTTAAATAAATTTCAGTATGTCGAAAATTCACAAAAAATTTTTGAAAATTTAAAAGAAAACGCAGCAAATATTAATTCAATAATTCAAACATCTAAAAATCCTTCTTTGGGCCAAGCAAGCTCAAGTCAACAGCCTTCAAGTATATTAATTTAATTTAATATTAAATGTGGATTTAAAAAAATCTTAGCTTATAATTTAATATATGTAATTATATCAACAATTTATCATTACACCTCATTTCATTTATCAATGGAATCCTAGCAGATCCGTTGATTAACTTCAAATTTCTTCAAATTCCAATATATCCCCCTTTATCCCTTGATATACCTCTTAATTTACCAAAATCACTTCATATGACTCCTAATCCCCCAAATCCAATCATCTTACTGCCTCCAGATCTCTCGATATATACCTTAAACCTCAGTTATCTCCCTTAATCCCTTAAAATCGACTTATATCCCTCGATATCCACCGATATCCTTCGATGTCGAATTCGATGTCTCCTGATATTTCCTTCATATCCGTCAAAAGACTATTGGGGTCTGAAATAGGAGGCTGAAAACTACATGTCGCAGTCCCAATTCTAGCTTTAAATTTGGACTGCGAATTACATATGTATTTCGCAGTCCATGATAAAAATACTTTTCTAAATTATAAACAATTTTTTTGTAAATATTTTAGAAGTAAACAAAATATTTATTTAATATTTTATTTAATAATTTAAAAGATTTTGCAAAAAAATTTTTATTATTTTTTTTTGGGAGGATCAGCACTTTTCACTCTAATAAATTTTACTTTTGCATATTTTTAAGCAAGTCAAGTTGAACATTTAAACAATGCTTTGGAACAACTTCGGAACAAACCATCAATTATTTATTTGATAGATTCATTTCAAAAATTAACATATTGTAAAAGAAGCGTATTTATGAATAATGAACAACGTAGAACTGTGGAAAAAATTGCAGAGGCAGATAAAAACATGTTATATAAATATAACAATAATGGAGACAAAATTAAATATATTAATGCACGCCTCAGTGTAAATTTTTAATTTTTAAGGAAATAACGGGGAAACTCATTTTTGAAATTTTCTATTACACTAACTGAGGCCTTTTGTGTTTTAGAAAATTTTCATGTGACTGATTTTACGTTAATCTCAATAATTTACGTTAATCAATTTACTCTATTTTGGTTAACTCACTCCTAGTCTGATTTTACGTCAGCCTTGTGTATTTTTACAGTTCATGTGTTTATCTTTTTAAATAATACGATTCTTTTTCCACATAACCTTGTGGACACGATGTTGCTTAAAAACAGGCTTATTTTAAAGCAAATTGGCCTGTTATTCCTGTCCAAATTTCTGCCATAAATGTTTTAAGTTTATTGGTTAGTAGTTAGATAAAAGTCGGACCCTCAAAACTGATTCCGGGGATAATTAAGGTTAATTTGTCATCTTTCGGAGTAATATAATACATCAGGGAAAATTTTTCTGCTTAGATAGCTCGTCTTGACATTAGAGACCGGACTGGGAGTGATCGTACGAGAATCGAGATCTCGAAAAATTTTCGGTCAGTATAAATGAGATTTTCAATCGAGATCTCGTCTCGGTCCTGACTTACAATTTTAAAAGAGTAATGTGGAATAGAGTTCTCACTTCATTTCATTGTGTATAAAATAGAGTTTTCATTGTGTAATAAATTTAAAAATATAACAAATAATATTTTAGTTATATGGTATTGAGTATGTTGAAAATGATAAAAAAAGTGAAATATGTTTCGAACGTGAAGATAATTATCCTTTTTTAAATAAATACCTTGGAATGTATTTTTATTTTGATGGAAAAATAAAACAGGATTCTGAACATAAACACGAAACTGAAAATTATTCAAAGAAAGAAAGTGAGGATAATGAAGAGGAAAATGTAGAATTTGTACAAGAGAGCGACCATAATGAATCGGAAAATGAAGGGTCTGAACAGCACGGTGACCATAATGAATCTGAAAATGAAGGATCTGACTATGAACAGCAAAGTGAGCATGGTGGCCATGAAATCGGAGGTTCTTCACATCAATCTAATATTAACATGCCGATGATAGATGGATATGGAAATACACACATTAATGATGAGCATGGAAATCACCACATTTATGATAAAAATAAACATCACCACGTTTATGATAAATATGGAAATCACCACTTTTATGATGAGAATGGAAATTACTACGTTTATGACGCAGATAACAATTTAATTTTTTCACAACCAGGTCAATCTTGAAATTATCAAGGGATTAACTTCTATATAATTTGTAATTATATATTTTATATTAAAATTAAAGATTTTATTTTTGGGATATATCCTTAATTTGAGTATCATTATTATGTATGGTTAATCATCATTTCCCGATATTATTCCAAGAAATACTTGATTTAATTGATAAAAAACTACATATTCTCACTCAGACGATGCAATAAGCATTGCATCTAGTTTCAGACTACTAATTTATTTTGAAAAAGTTTAAAGAAATCGTTATTTCCTAACAGATTTCTGATCTAAAAAGATAATTTTCACAAAAAGGGAAAATTTCTTACTAAGAGAGTGTAAATGTCAGTCGTAATTTAATGATTAATAATGATATTTAAATTAAAGGTTTTTGGGTTTTATTTGTTTTTTTGGGGTTTATTTACCGTATTTTCTCTAAAATAACCCCCGGGGGTTATTTTTTTCGATCGACCTCTAGAGGGAAGGGGTAATAGTTTGTAAGTGACCACTTTTTTCGCGTTTCACTGACCATCTTGATTTTTTTGTTTAATACATATATACCTAGTTTATATCATTCGAAAGAACTCTTCGAGCTTTGTTAAATGATACCAGGATAGGCTAAATTCGATGATTTTTACCAGAAGTATGAAGCTAAATCATTGGTGGAGGGGGGGGGGTATTTTAGGGAGGGGAGTATTTTAGAGAAAATACGGTATTTGTTGGAGGGGATTATTATTTTAGAGATTATTTACTGGGTTTTATTGGTTTATTTTTCTAAAGTTTAGCATAGAATCATTTTTTAAACAATGCGTGGCACTAAAAATATTTAAAATTTACTATTAAAAATTCTCTAAGTTAAGCTAAAAAATATCTAATTAGATACGAGAGTTTTATATTTTTGGGTCACGCTTGTTATTTTTCCACAAAATTATTTTTTAAGAAATCAGCAAGGGATATGCACAAATTTTTTTGCTTACAATACTCAAAAATATTTTTAGAAATAATTAAACTAAAATTATTATTAGCTAATTTTTTAGTCTAAATTCACAGGAGATTGAAGAGAAGATAATATTTAATTATATACATAGTTTTCATTCAATTTTTGAGTTTGTAAGATTTTTTTATTGTGCTCATTCCTTGCGCGCTCTAAAAAATCGCGAAAGAAATTTTTTTATTTAATTTTAAAATGTATTTACATTTTTTCATCATCTTTTTGATCTTTATTGAAAATTGTTTTTCTTTCACTCCTAAAATAATTTTTGTTATTTTCAGCCTTTGACCAATCTATGTACATTCTCCTTTTTATTTATAAAATTTTAAATTACTATTATCAATCTTTGTGGTTTTTGTTAATTTTTAACTCTGAATATTTTTGTGTGGTCCTCTAACATTGGGAAAAATTTGCAAAAATTTCAACAAACTAAATTTACTAAATTATTCTTAAATTCCTTTAAAATTTTTAAAATTATTTAAAATTATTCTAATTTTTTTCTAGTTTTAGAGATATTTAGTATATTGATTTAAAATTAGTAGTATTATATAATTTTTGATTGGATAAATTATTTATTTTTAAAATTTGTTTTTTATTTATTTAAAATTCAAGTTAAAATTATTGTTAGAATTTAATAATAAAAAATTAATGAAAATTTTGACAATATTTAAATTACAAATAAAGTGGGGATAAAAGTTATATTATTTCATTGCCCCTACACCTCATAAGCTTAAATCTTTAGTCGAAAAGTGTATTTTATAGTTCAACTTAATATCGAGCAATTTTTTTAGCTTTTTCGATGAATTTTCAAGTTTAAAATTCAAAGTAAAAAATTTTAATAAGATTTGACAAAACGGTAACTTTATGTTATTTTTATGAAATTATTTAAATAATATCCTGAACCAAACTTTTTATCAAAGTAATGAAGATCACTGAATAATTTTCTGTGAGACAAATCTATTGTAGCGGATAAAAATATTGGAAGACTGTCGCAGGATCTTTTATTTTTTTGCACCGCGAAAAATATTGAGAATTTTGGGAGGCTTTAGATTTTGCCGCCTTGAAGATTTTCGGAGCCGCACCATAATTGCGAATATTGGTATTAATTGCGAAAAATATAAAATATTTAATGAATCATAACTTCGTCTGAAGTTGTTGAAACAATAATTTTGATACCATTCGACTTAGCTCGACTAATCTCAGGGTCAAGTCAATCCAAGGAATGTTCGGGCCTCCTCCCATTATATCAGGACCTCCTTTTTTTAGCGTCGTAGGCGAAATTAATTCATAAATTAAATAACTATAAATTTTTAGAAATAAAGCTCCCAAATAGAGCCTAATTTTTAAAATCCAACACCTACTCTTTATTTTCTTTTTGAAAAAAATATGAGAAAACCTCAGATTAATTTGGAACTTCCGGATTAAATTTTGGAATATGAGAGGATGCTTGTGTTAACTTCCTTTAATTCTGTCTTAAATGAAATTTTAATATTTTTATCATTATGTCTGTTCATGTGTATGCACTTTTATTTTAATTTAAATAAATAAGAATTTGTCAGAATTATTTAAATTAATTAACATGATTCCATGTCTTTTTATTAACCTGTCAAGGACAGATTTTATTTTGTCCAAGACGATTAAGATCGAAATCGAGTAAATAAATATTTTGAATTCGAGACTTTATTTGGCCAAGTAATATTTTAATTAATTATTTTTTAATTAGGGCATAAACTAGATTGCTTTAAATTTGATGTTCACTATTGGAACTTATAATATTCGATAAGAAACTTTTAAAATAATACTTATATTTAAGATTATTTCCCAATCTACAGGAAAGCCCGTAAATTTAAGTTATGTTTTTAATAAGCAAATTCAAGTTAATAATAAATTTAAGTTTTAATAAGTAAACCTAAGCCTGTGCAGTAGGCGGCGTGGTGTAATGAATAACACATCAGTCCGGTCTACTAAAGATGCTGGTTCGCTCCCAGCCGCCGATTAACCTTTTGCACTAGCTAAAGGAGAGAAATAGCTATAGCCCAGCTGCTTTAAGTTTCATTAGGTGAAGTTGACAATCCCCAATGGATGCACTCGATTTTACATTCACTTCTTCATCTCGATATTTTTTATATTATTTAAATCTAATAAATTTTTTCAAATAACATTTATTATTTCAACTTCTACTATATTTATTTTTATTTTATGGATAATTTCCTATTTTTAAATTAGTATTTAATAATTTAAATAACTCGAGAATTATCCAAAATCGAGAAATATATTTCTCGAAAAATATTTTTATAAATTTTCAGTGGGGATGCCCTTTGAAAAAAAATATTTCTCAATTATTAAAGTGCAATTACACTTAGCAGGGTAATCCCTCTTATATATAAATTAATTAAAATATTAATTATTAATTAAAATTAATTTAAAATTAATTAAATTTAAATAAAAAATGTTTATTTCCTTCTTTAATTTATTTATTATTTTTATTTATTTTAATTTTCTTGAATGTTCTTCAACTTCAATCAACAATTCTTTATCTGAATTCTCAATTAATTCAGAAAAATTAATTAAATTTAATAAAATAAATAATTTAAAAAATAATTATTTCTTTAATAAATGTTTATTTAATAATTTAAAAACAAAAAATAAAAATTATTATTTAATTCCAAAAATGGAAATAAAAACTGGCAAAATTGAGGAAATTAAAAAAGTTGAAGATAAAGCTGAGAATAATTTAATTAATTTAATTTATGAAAAATTTGAAGAAAAAATTAAAGAAAATGATAATAAAATATTTTTAAATGAAATAAATAATGAAAAAATAAATGGAAAATATATTAATGGATTTGATGAAAATAGATTCTTGAAGGATGAAATGGTAGAATTAATTAATTAAATATTTAATTTTTATAAAAAAATACATATACCTATTTATTAAATGATATTAAAGTAAGAGAGAGGTAAAAGGTTTATCATGAAGCTGGCAAAGTTCCTGCGATTTCCTGGCAGTTATTTCTAGGCGCTTAGCTCACCCAATAGAGGTGATCTACTTTCAGAGATACTCTGCTTTTAACTTCTTTTTTAATAGATCTTAAACACCACCAGTAAACGTTTCAAATTCTACTTCCTTACATTAATCCATTATTTCTTAACTCATCTATTGTTAATACAAAAATGGAAATGGACAAAATGGGGATAAAAGCAGGGATGAGTGATACAATTTTTCTGGAATGGGTTCGCCTTTTTAAAAAAAATGCCCCCCTTTAATTTAGAAAATAAAAAAAATATTTATTTTAAATATTTATTTATTTTTTTAGAATGATGACTTAATCTTCATAGCCAATATAATTAATTCTCTCGACAAAAAAGTAATTTTAAAAAATATTCAACGTTCTGCTGATCTTTTATTTGCTTTATATCAAAGCTATTATTTAATTAATTTTGCTTCAACAATTTCACAAATTGAAAATATTTTGGATTGTATAGAACAAGCACGAGTTCCCCCAACAATTCTACTCAATTATTTTTCAATTAAAGAATTAAAACAAATTTTTTGGAAAATTTTGGGAATTAATAAATATTCAGACAATATTGAAGAGAAAAAAATTGGAATGACTAAAATAATATTTTCGGATTCATATTCAGGAATTTTGGATATTTTGTCTATTAGAAAAGAGGAGAAAGCAAAAAATATTTTAAATGTTTTGACTGAGGCAAATGAAGGTTTTTACTGTTTAATTTAAAAATTTAAATTAATTTTTATTTTTAGTTTTGACTCGAGCAAGCAATGTTTTAAAGAAAACACAAAATTTTCAGAATTGGGATTGAAAAGAAAATAAAATAAAAAAATCTGTTTGTGAATTCTAAAAATTTACTATTCTTTGCTAACAAATTTCCTAATTTGGAAAAACAATTTTCGAGACCTGTTATTTCTGTCTTTTTCCTTTTATTTGTAATTTCAATATTTCCTAATTTTTTCTATTTTTTTATTTTGATTTTTAAAGTTTTTGTAATAAATGTTTTTAATTTTTTTGTGATAGCAGAAGTTTATTTTTTAGGTAGAATATTATTTGAAGGGAAAAGAATGATTAGAATTATTGAAAATTTTTGCTTAAATCAAATAAAAATTTAACATAACGATGGAAGAAATTTGGGTTTTTGGCTTTCGAAAATTCCCCGATCAGAAAAAAAATTCCCCAACCCCCACCACGGCATGACATCCCCGGCAAAACCCGATCCCCGACACCGAAAGGTCGGATTGCTATCCTACTCAACTCAAATAAAATTTAAAATAACGATGTGAATAAATCTTATCACAAAGCTCTAAAAGATTGATAAGTAGAAAAAGCTATTTTATTTTTAATAATTTTTTTTCTTGCATTTTTCTCTTTAAATTATATTTTAAATCTAATATTTAATTATTATTTCTTTTAATAAAAATTAAAAAAAAATTAATTCAAAGCTCATTTATTCATTATTTAAAATTATTTTCGATGAAATATATTTAATTAATTAAATATATTATTATTATTCTCTTTCCATTATTCTTTGCAATATTTAATACAATCATTATATGTTCTAAAAAATAAATTATATAATTTAAATAATTAATTTTAAATATTTACTCGAAATTATTTGCATTTCCCAAAGCTCCATAATAAGTAAATAATAAACAATTATTTACTTCTTTTTTATAAAAAAATCTCTTTAAATTTAAATTAATTAATTTATTTATTTTTTTAAATTACTGGAGTATGAGATCCTTGGAAGGCATAACGTCCAGTATCATACTCCACATTACAAACAATTTCTAAATTTTATTTTATTTTAAATGTCTCATTTTTTAAACTTTTATTTGCCGGACAGCATTTACTTTCACTACATTCATAATTATCCGGACACTGATCTGAAGGGCATTTAATTACCCTCGCTTCAGAATCAACTGCTGCTCTAACATTCCCCTCACATTTAGCTATTTAAAATAAAATTAATTTTTTAACAGATAAATAAATACTAACGGACAGGTAAGGCCATTCCGTGTCCTCCTCCCTCGTGAGAACTTTCAACTGTTGGCTCATAATCAGAACAAAGAGCCCGACAATCAGTTAAAGAATTAAATTTATTTCCATTTCCTCCACATCCTTTTGAATAAAAAATTTTTTAAATAAATTTTTGAATTAATCCTCCTAATTTTTACTTCCTCATTTTTAATTATCGCTGAAAAAATCCTACTTAATAGTTGCCCACTAAGGTTGTCGGATCAGGATATCAGGATCCAAAAAAGGCCGAATAACCGGAAATTTTCGGTTCGGATATCGGATATATAAAGATTTCCAACTTCCGATAGCCTTATTGCCCACACCTACCAATTCTAAAAAATATTTTAAATCGAATTGTGGATATCTTTACTAAGGTTTGACAGTATTTCCTACCTTGATAAAGGAAAGGTTGACATCTTTTTGTAATTAAATCGAAATAAAATCTTTTTTCAGAAATAGCTCCACATTCACTATTTCCTCTATCTTTTGCTATATAAAATTAGTTGAATTTAAAAAAATTATAATTTAATTTTATCTACCCAATCCACAAATACTTTTATCAGAAAATGCTGTTGATAAATTAATTTGGTTAATAAATAAAATGTAAAAAGAAGTTAAGAATAATACAAATAAATCAACAGAGTAGAGCATTTTAAATATTTTTATCTGATAAATGAAAAAAATTAGAGAACCTTTAAAATTAATATTTTTGGCAAAATACATAATCGAATTATAATTTTAAAAAATTTGTATTGGATTGAAAAATAAAGCCACAGTCTCTATTTTAACCAAAGTCTCTAATACTATAACCACCCAAAATTGGAGGGTTGAAAAATAGAACCACAGTGAATCTATTAAAATAAATACGGTAATATGTTAACCAGTGCTTCGAAGCTCGTACCAAAATTCGTACTCGTACCTCGTACTCGTACATGGTACATAGTACGAGTACAAGTACGAGTCTTATTATTTTAAATACAATTTATTTTCGAAAAAATAAAAATTTAATAAAATAAACAATTTTATAATCGATTCATTCTTTTTTCTAAAATTAATCCAAAAAGAAACAAACTATTTTAAGGTAAAAACGTAAAATGATCGGGAAGAGTTGCGCACAAAAGAAATGAAATATTAGAAATGTTTTTAGAAATATGAGAGGAAGAAGAACTCTTTTAAATATTTATTTTTAGGTAATTTGTTCGCTTTGTAAAACGTGTTTAGAAATATTTAAACAAAACTAGAATAATTTTAATTAATATTTAAAACAATAAATGAAGACAAACATGTTTTGTTTTATTTAGCTAGCTAGTTATATAATAATTAATTAATTATTATATAGAGCATTTAAAAACCAGAAATATTTTAGATTGTTTGTATAAAAATAAATTTACAGTATATATTCTATTAATCACCCTCCCTCAATTAATTACCCCACCTCTATTTATTAGTTACCCTCTCCAGCGAAAAGTAAAACAATAATTATCCCTTAAAATAGTTTTAATTAGCCTTCCTAAAATAATCTCTATTAATTACCCCGTCTTTATCAATTAGAGAGATGTCGAAGTAATAATTACCCAGGGTAATTAATAGAGTAAATATATACGGTAAATTAATAAACGGAAATATAATGTAACGGACCGGCCCCAAAGACTCGATACACACCAATTCTCGACATTTCCAAACCCACCCCCGGACTCAAATATACATTTATCCGTTTTCCCAAGCTCTGTTTATTCTTTCTCTCCTCCCCCACACATATCCATTTTGTATTTTATTTTTATTAAAACTCCTCCCCCTTTTTCTTTCAACACAAACCAACAACTCTTCAGTTGTTAAAATGGTTGTTAGTTGAAATTGTTGTTAACTGAAGAGTTGTTAAAGGCGTTTGGATTTTGATGGATCGATGATGGAATAATTATTTTTAAATATATTTTTCCGTTTTGTATTTTTAAATGGCTTTTCGCTTTAAATATATTTTGCCCATGTATTTTGGAATTAATCATTTTTATTTGTTTTTAATTTGATTCATATTATTTGGACAGTTTAATTTTAATTAAATAAATATTTTTCTTCCAATTTCCCAGTCGATTTAATTTAGGGAAAATAGGAAAATGAGTTTAGTCCTCTGCGCCCTCCCCTTTTGACCAACCTCCAAATCCTCCTCCACCCCTAAATACCGGCGCTCCGAAGATGCACCAGACCGAAAGGTCGTGGTTGCTAACTGGTAGCACCGGATGGCGTCCCCCTCAAGGTTTTGGCTACCCACCCACCTCTCCCTCCACCCACCTCTCCTTCCTCCTACACTCTCCCTCTTTCTCCCCTCCACTCTCCCTCCTCGCTCAATTTTTTAAATAAATTTTAATTTAATTTAATTTTAATTTTTCCAAATTCTATTAATCTACCCCATTCCTCACAGCACCCCCCCCCCTCCACCTCCGAATCAGAGTAAAAATAAAACCTAGAAAAAGCGAAGCCATTTTTGCTCGCTATTTTCTAGGCTTCGCTTTTCTTACGACATAAAATTCTTTTGTCCACATTTCTGACCTGCTTAGTCCAATTTTTCTCCCAACTCTGCACAGAATTTACATACAGATAAACATTTTCCATCTTTGCCCTTGAAGGGAAAGTGGGCAAAATTCCTTCGTTTTCTGCCTGTTGTAAATAAAGAGTATTTTTGCTGTTTAGATGTCCTATCAATCTTTGCCCTCGAAGGGAAAGTGGGCAAATTTCTTCGGCTTGTTTTTGCCCCATCTTTTTACAATAGACAATAAAATTGTTTTTCTAGATAGTGCAGATAAATTTTGCCCACTTCCCCGACGCTACACACTTTTTGTATTAAAATATTTTTCTTCTCTCTGTCCTTACCCATTGGTTCTATCCTTTTGCCTTCAACATTTTTAGTTATTTTTTACACCTTTTTCTTCCCCCTCCATTTTTTAAAAAATCTACATTTTTCTAAGTTAAAAAATATTTTTATATAAAATTAACTTCGAAAATATAGACTAAAACAATGTCTAAAATTTTCAAAATAATTTTAAAATGTAATAATTTCACCGGTATTCAAAAATCCCCTCCTCCCTCTACAAAACGTACCTTCTCATTACCCTTATTCAAATACAAAACCATGTAAATATTCTAATATAAGCCCATCGACGGGAGAAAATTATTTAATGAGACCCGGTTGAGAATAAATAAAAAAAAAGAGAGCTTCTATTGGAATGGTTATAAGAAAACTGACTTGAGCCCCCCCCCCTCCAGTAAAAAAATATATACATTTTTGTTTAATGAATATTAGATCAATTTCCTAAGGCCAAATGATTTTACCATTTTATCGATTATCCATTTTATGTTCTACAAATTTTTCAGTTAAACAAATGATAAAAATTTTCTTTCTAAATTATTCCCTATAAATATTCTAATAGAAGTCCTGTATTATATAGAAGCCTTTCTATTTAATGTAACCGGTCGAGAATAGATACTAAGACTTCTATTAGGAATATTTTCAAGACTCAAACCCCTCCCTTCTAATTATCTTTGGTTGTTTGTTTGTTTTTGAAGTAAAAATTTTTGGCTTTCCGTGTTTTAAGTTTTTTTAATCCTCCTAATTTTTACTTCCTCATTTTTAATTATCGCTGAAAAAATCCTACTTAATAGTTGCCCACTAAGGTTGTCGGATCAGGATATCAGGATCCAAAAAAGGCCGAATAACCGGAAATTTTCGGTTCGGATATCGGATATATAAAGATTTCCAACTTCCGATAGCCTTATTGCCCACACCTACCAATTCTAAAAAATATTTTAAATCGAATTGTGGATATCTTTACTAAGGTTTGACAGTATTTCCTACCTTGATAAAGGAAAGGTTGACATCTTTTTGTAATTAAATCGAAATAAAATCTTTTTTCAGAAATAGCTCCACATTCACTATTTCCTCTATCTTTTGCTATATAAAATTAGTTGAATTTAAAAAAATTATAATTTAATTTTATCTACCCAATCCACAAATACTTTTATCAGAAAATGCTGTTGATAAATTAATTTGGTTAATAAATAAAATGTAAAAAGAAGTTAAGAATAATACAAATAAATCAACAGAGTAGAGCATTTTAAATATTTTTATCTGATAAATGAAAAAAATTAGAGAACCTTTAAAATTAATATTTTTGGCAAAATACATAATCGAATTATAATTTTAAAAAATTTGTATTGGATTGAAAAATAAAGCCACAGTCTCTATTTTAACCAAAGTCTCTAATACTATAACCACCCAAAATTGGAGGGTTGAAAAATAGAACCACAGTGAATCTATTAAAATAAATACGGTAATATGTTAACCAGTGCTTCGAAGCTCGTACCAAAATTCGTACTCGTACCTCGTACTCGTACATGGTACATAGTACGAGTACAAGTACGAGTCTTATTATTTTAAATACAATTTATTTTCGAAAAAATAAAAATTTAATAAAATAAACAATTTTATAATCGATTCATTCTTTTTTCTAAAATTAATCCAAAAAGAAACAAACTATTTTAAGGTAAAAACGTAAAATGATCGGGAAGAGTTGCGCACAAAAGAAATGAAATATTAGAAATGTTTTTAGAAATATGAGAGGAAGAAGAACTCTTTTAAATATTTATTTTTAGGTAATTTGTTCGCTTTGTAAAACGTGTTTAGAAATATTTAAACAAAACTAGAATAATTTTAATTAATATTTAAAACAATAAATGAAGACAAACATGTTTTGTTTTATTTAGCTAGCTAGTTATATAATAATTAATTAATTATTATATAGAGCATTTAAAAACCAGAAATATTTTAGATTGTTTGTATAAAAATAAATTTACAGTATATATTCTATTAATCACCCTCCCTCAATTAATTACCCCACCTCTATTTATTAGTTACCCTCTCCAGCGAAAAGTAAAACAATAATTATCCCTTAAAATAGTTTTAATTAGCCTTCCTAAAATAATCTCTATTAATTACCCCGTCTTTATCAATTAGAGAGATGTCGAAGTAATAATTACCCAGGGTAATTAATAGAGTAAATATATACGGTAAATTAATAAACGGAAATATGATTTTTTATTATTTTATTTTATTAAATAATTTAAGATTTGTATTATATTTGGAGTTCTTCAATTTTATATTCTGTTTTTAATAATTAAATTAATTAAATACATATCCAACTTAATTGGAATTTTTAAATAATCAAAATATAATAAATAAATGACATTTTTAGTATTTTTTCAAAGAATTATTTGAGCACTAAAGTATCGAGGAGTATAGAGGGCAGTTGTTATATGCATTTCAATCAAAAGTCCTTGCAAATTGAACTTTTTTGCCCTATAGGAGAATTATTTGTTCAAGAAAGAATTTCAAAAGCAGTTGGAAATTTAATTACGATTTTTGGGTAAACTATTGTTTAGACTTTGTGTCGCTTTTGTCCATTATTTTTAATTAATATAAGTATTTAATCCAATCATTTATCATAATTAGTTTAAAAATATTAAATCCCAATGTTATGTTTTTAAAACCAAAAATTTTAAATTATATGTTAAATTAATTTTTATCACAATTAAAGCTTCGACCAAATTTCGTTCTTATATTCTTTAAAGAGGTTTATTATCCAAAAATTGTTTAAACATATACAAGGATTCTTGAGGTTTGGATTGGGGAACCTTTATAAAAATTATTAAAAATAATTTTATAGAAATATTTTAAATTAACCATGTGGCCAGCTCCTCTAACTAAATATAAATAAAATGTTTGAAAAACAGTTACAAATTTTATTTATTACCTGTCGTGAAAGTTAGTCCATTTACATATTCTGTCGCAAATCCACCAATCTGTCCATTTACAATCCATGGATATTTTGCATTTTTTACCTTTAATTATATATATTTTTTGGATTAATAAGTAAACAAATTCCGTTAGATAAAGTTTCATATAAAATCGACCGATACACCAGTTGGTGCAGCTCGTACACATGCGGCTCAGACATTTACGGCCCAGACACTTGCGGCTCGCCCCTATTTCGACATTTGCGGCCCCGACCTTTGCGGCTATGAAATTTTCGGCGCAGACATTTGCGGCTATCAACTTGCGGTTCAAGCCCCAGACTATTGCGGTTTTGACAAGGCTCCCCCTATTGTGACACTTGCGGCCCCGGATGATTGCTTAAAAACACCACTATACAAAGCGTCTATCTACTCATTCAAAATTAAACAATTTTTAAAGAGAATATTTTCCAACTTTATATCCAAGTTGTTCAGTAAAGCGTTGTCCAAGCAAAAAGTTACAAACAACATCTAAATCACCATAATAAAAAAGCATACGAATATTGGCATTTAAAATTATTTTTGTGAAATTGGCCATTTCGACTAGAAATTATTTAATATTTTTTTAATTTAAAATTTAGATTAACTAGGAGAAGTAGATGTGTAATTATAAAAAACATCATCTGAACATATTTCCCATTTAATATTTAAATTAGACGGAATATGTAATGCTTCTTTTACTAAAATACATTATTTGTTATTTTATAATAAAAAAATTAACCATTAGGCATGTTTAAGTAATGTTCTTCAGCAGAAACTGAATTAAAAATTTTTTTTATTTTTATGGATGTTTATTTTTTAATTTTTTTTTTGTCTCATAATATTTTTTAAAATTCATAACAGCTTTGGACATTGTTGAAATATTTTTGGGAAATTGGGATTGGGAGGATCCTTTTTAGTCTACATAAAGTTTCGGCCGTTTTTTCCTTATTAGACAGCAAATGTTAGGCATGTATCAGGGGTGTACCGAAGCAGATTGTAAAAAGAAAGATATATGTCTGGTATAAAATCAGTCATTGACGATCGGTCTTATTAACGATCGGTCTTACCGTATTTGCTAAAATAATTACCCAGGGTAATTATTTTTTCAACCTCTCGCTGGAGGGGGTAATTAATAGGGAGGGGGTAATTATTTGAGAGAGGGACATTATTTTTTCGACTTATAAAATTTTTATTTAATCATAAGCATATGAACAGGGATATACAATATGTTACCGAATTTGCAGATAAATATTAAATTTTCAAGATAGGTATTCTATATTCCCTTAATATTTTCATAAATAGTGTACCCCAGGATGGTATAATAACAACAATGCTTCCTTCCTGGGATATATAAAGACACTTTGACATGTATACAAGTATGTATGATTCCTATTTAGAGAATATATCCTAAATTCTCTAAAGATACTTATAATCTTCGGATAAAAAGCTTAAAAATTAGAAGGGTAATCTAGATAGATTTCAGGAATTTTTTGGAGATGTAAGGTTGATATTAAAGGAGATATAATTGGACTTGGAGGGATTAATATGTATTTCAATGGTATCAACTAATTAATTGGATTTATTCGAGGATAGTCAGGGATATAAGGATTCGTAGGGATATCGGAGCTAGGGATATAAGGATTCGTAGGGATATCTACTAAAAAATCTCACCCATATCCTTGTAATCTCTTAATTCTCGTAAATTCCACTATATTCTCTCCAAATACTTTTATTCTCTTGATTTATTTTTTATATTGATCCTTAAAATGGCCATTATTAAAATAATAATGATTTTTAATAAATATTTTCAAAATTAGCTCAGGAAAAATAGGGGGTAATTATTTGAGAGAGGGTAATTATTTTTTCAACCTCTCGCTGGAGGGGGTAATTAATAGGGAGGGGGTAATTATTTGAGAGAGGGACATTATTTCAGCAAATACGGTATATGAACGATCGTTATTCATGCCTATCGCCATTCATCCTCATTATTCATGTATTTCCGTATGTGATAAACATGCTATTCTATTCTTGTATATATTCAGTTATCACAAAAGGTGGGTTGGAATTCAGATTTCCGACTTTTGAGCCAGTTCTGTTTTTAGGCTCTTCCGACTTCCGACACCTCTGACTGTTCCGACCCACCTCTGGTCACAAGGGGTTATCCAAGCATTGCGGAATGATTTTTTTATTAAAAACTTTATTTTGAAAAATCTTATCGTTGGAGACGAGAATAAACATTTTTATTATTTTTTTCTTACCATCTGTGCATGGAATTACACCGTAGAATAATGGACGATCATTTGAGCAAACTTATTAGCCAAGTTATTTAACTTTAAAATTAAATTCCTAGTTTTAATTTTGTGTCTAAATGCAATTGTTTTGTTTGTTGGTTCTAAATTTAAATAATCAAATAATTAATAAAATATTTCTGTACCACAATCATCATAAAGATCATAAGGATTAACTAGAGCATTATTATAACCAGTATATAAATTTTGGTACTAAAAGTATTAATAAATTTAGCACTTATGTCAAAATTAAAGTTTTACCATATCTCCACATGTCGAATTATCAGGGATGTTATAAATGTCACAACTATCTATAAAAATTATTATGATTATTAATTTAGAAAACATAAAAAATTCAGGTATGTGCATTAAATTTGGATTTAACTAGACACCGAATGAATACAATTGCAATTCTAAACCTGCAATCTAAACTTTGCTGGACAACAACAAAATTTTGGGTCTATTCCAAATTTAGAATCCACAAGAATCTATAATGAAATATAGTCTCACTTCTCCTAGACTATACATATATCTCTTCTCCTACAACCCCTAAATGTATACAAATATTTTTAAAATTTAACCAATGCAGCCATTACAGCATTGCTTTTGGAATTTCAGCCAGATTTCCTCATCAATCAAACCATGATTATAAAGGTATAAAATTTGTGTAATTGTGTTAAGAGAGTCACTTGCAAGCCCATTTCCAATAGCTACACCCTTTAATAAAATATATTTTGCCTTTATTAAATACCAAAATTATACTTTTAAATTTATTTTTGAATCCTTGATACCTTCCAAAATTTTAACACCAAGCATAGGAATATATACACCAGCATAAGACTCACCAGTAAGATAAAATGGATTTGATTTCAATGAAGGATATTTAGTGAAAAAATCTTTTAAAGCTGCATAGTTTGCTGCAGCAACCTTTAAATAATTTTTTATATAGTGAACGTTTTTTTTCACTAAATATAAGATAACCAATTTCTTAAAGTCAGGAATATCATAAATAGGTGGCATAGTTTAGATTGATCCCTACGGTATTCAAAAAACGAGGGTTATTACCCGGGTTATAGACACCAAGTTGCCCGTAACCCTCTTTTATGAAGGGGGTTTCTCCTCATCGCTAATCTTTAATGATTGCCATAAACATAACAATATCATAATCCTGGATTTATCATATAGTGAGGCAAAAATGTATAGGATTTAAGGCATAAATACCTACCTCCTCGTCACCTGTAGTTACATTTTTAACTTTTGAATTATAAGAAAATCCAACGCACGCAGGGGATTCTAAAAATATAACTGAGGCATATTTATTCCATGAATGAGGATTTTGACGCAGTGTTTTGCCATCTTTGTTGAGTAAATATGGGCCTAATTCATTAAATAAACCACCAAGAGATGAACAGCCAGGACCTCCATTTAACCACAAAACCTTAAGGAATTTTTAGAAAATTTTAGATAATTTTGGATATTAACTAATGGATCAGTTTTTGGATTTCCTTGTGATTCAGCAAAAATATAATGAAATAAATTTCCATTTCCGGCATTCAAATAACCTTAAAATAAAATTAATAAAAGAGTAAGGACAAATAATTTGCCTGAATAATGTTTAAAGTTGAGCTTTGCATTTAAGCCTGGTAAAGATTTAATTTCATCGGGGTTATTATTTAGATTCGATGCTCCATAAATTAAATTTATTAAAATGGAGAATTGGAGAAGGCATAAAAATATTTTAGGAATTTTGGGCATTTTAATAAATTGAAGGAAGTTCAATAATTTTTTAAATTATTATTAGCCAAATTTCTGGTTAGTTTTGCCTTTTATCGAGTTTATTATATATCTAGCTTGACTCTCCTGGCTTTATTGCTCTCCTCTAGGCTCTCCTCTATTCAAGTGATAATCAATACGCATAATTATTTAAATTGTTGGCAAATTTTAGATGATCAAATCCATTATTTTTTTACTTATGAGCTAAAAAAGGAAATGTATTTTAAACGTAGTATGTACATAACTATACAATAAATATATTAAACAAATTAAAATAAAATTTAAATTGCTGAAAAACGTGGAATTTTTAAAATTATTCTTCCCTTTTTTATTTAAGTAACAGCTGATTAAAATTAAATTTGCGTTTAATTTTTAATCATTTATAATTTTTAATTGCTTATTAATTTTTAATTAAAATTAAATTTTAATTAAAATTAATTTTTAAATCAATCATAGATTTAAAAAAATTCGTTGTGTGATAGAAGCAAGTCTCAATTAAGATAAAAACTAATTATGTAAATTTTATTTAGCTTCTGGGAAAGAGGGGAGGAGATGCATAAACGATACCTCCTAATAATTATTCCATGCATTTTATTCAATGTAAATGTTGATTTTGTTTAAATGAATTTAATTTTAAATTCTTAATTCTTAATTATTAATTATGGAATCAATCCTTAGGGGTAAAATTAAAACTAATGCATATCCCCAAACTCTCATTGCAAACTGTCTTCATATAGGCCTAAATATCTCTAACTCTTCTTAGGCACCCTGAACGACTAGACTGGTTAATATACATATTTTTGGAGAGAGGAATGATGAGGGAGATGAATTGGATTTTCATTAACTCTTCTTTAAAAATTATTTTTAAAATTTATTTAAAAAAATGTTCAGAACAATTCAAATTTTTAACTGGTGATTGCAATAAAAAATATTTAAAAGAAAATCTCTCTATATTTTAACATTTATTGCAAGAAATTTTTTTAAAATTTTCTTTATAATTCCCTCATTCACAACTTCATTTATTTACCAATAACCTCAGAAATCTTTTTGAGAAAAATATTTTTCTTCGGCCCATTTTCTTTTAAATCAAAGAGAATTTTTGTTCGAAGTTCGTTAACTGTTTTTTGATAAATGTTGCTAAAAAGGAAAACATTAGATTTCTAAAGGATCAGGTATTAATTAATAATATAATGCTGGAAGACTTACTCATCAATCATCATTTTATTTAAAGCATTTTGGAAGTCAACCCCAAAAACTTCACTGTCCACTCCATTCTCATCAGATATATTCAATTTTACATAAATTCCAATCCCCAAATGTTCAACAAGGGAAGAATTGTAAAACTGATCGCCCATACATGGAATACAAATTAAAGGAACACCGGCATATATTGCCTAAAATTAGTTAAAATGACGGTTTCAATTCTTATTTTGGAATACATTGACGCGGAGTGTACATAACTAGTCTTGGGTTTTCTCTCGCGCATTTAATCTCAGCGCAATTTTTTACAAGAAAAACATGAGTTCAGGTGTGTTCATGAGCCGAAGTATAGCCAAAGTCGTCTTTAAAATAGAAATAAAAGAGATAGTATGAGCGAAAATAGATTTTTTAAATTGCGTTTTTGTAACGTATTCATAATTGAAAAATATTTCCAATGTTCTTAAAGTTACCTAAACTTTTTGTATTATTATTCTTGATTGAAGTCCGGTAAATTATAGTGTAGACTTTGTATGGATGTGATAATCGCGGACGAAAATTCACCACAAAGAAACAAATTTAAGTTAAATAAAATTTTGTAGCAAATTTTATGGGCTTTAAAATAGTCATGAAAAAAAATATATAATACAATATTTTTTTAATCAGATCAACCCCAAATCACCCCATTTTCCGTTGATTTTGAATCTCGACATCTTAATTATGGGGGTGAGTTAGAAGTCAGAATTTTTTCCATTCTTCAACAAATTGATAGGGAAGATCCCATGAATTTTTTCAGATTTTTCCTACAATGGTTTTCCACGAAAAAAATAGACTCCTTTTTTCCCTAAGTAAATTTCCGGCAGTTTTAAAGTAGGTTATCTTTTATAAATTTTCCTGATCAAATAGAAAGTTTTCTCGGGACAAGTTTATAATCATTTTATGGGTAATTAATAGGGCTACAATAATACACAAAAATAAAGAAGGCCGAAGAAAATATTTTTTGAGTAAGACTTGAAAAACCGTGAAAAAATTTTTTCCCTAAGTAAATTTCCGCCACTGTATATACAATTTATTTGCTCATTCGAAAAGGCTCGTCGAGCTGAGTACATAGACTAAGTATATATACTGTTTTTGAGCTGCTATGGAGGGTAGGCCGGGCTACGGTCGAGTTAAGAGTTATCGAGAAGAGTTATCGATAGAGTCAAAAGGTATTGAGATTCTGACATAAAATAAATATTTTAAAATAACCGACCCGGATTAAAAAATCGCTATCGGTATTTACTATAAAATTTTTTATTGTTAACACCTTCTCACATAAAATTGTGGTTTATGACCCAGACAAAGATAAAAAGCTCGTCGACCTGAGCTGAATGGCATAAAAATCAACCCGCGGTCACATATATGGGCCGAGATACATGCTCTTGAAAATTGAAAAACCATAGGGGCCAATTTTAGAAACCATAGGGGCCAAGCCATAGGGGGCAAGCTATATTTTAGAAGCCAGAGAAAACGGCTAAAATTCTTGTATGTATTTAAAAAATGTAGCAAACCTTTTTGCTTTAAAAACGACCCTCGTACCTACAAAATTGAATATATTTTTTAGTATGTACTTAGGCTAGAATATCGCTCATGAACACATCGTATATTATACATATCTGTCGTATGTAATAAAATGTGAAATGAGCATTTTAAAAAAAATAATAAAATATTATATGTATAGAAATAGCCATAGCGATTTTTTTATCCCGAGTCGGTACCGGGATCGGTAATTTTTAAATTTTATCTTGATGAATTTACCTCATTATCCTCGGCTTTAACCTTTTCTTGAATCAAAATTTTATTTTGCTCAACAAGAAGCCCTCCAATGAAAATAATTTTTTCTGAGACAGGGAATTCTTTAAAGTTTGCAAGGTAATGTTGATTAACAAAATGAAGTTTAATTTTTTTGAATAAGAATTCTATAGAAGAAGGCGGAGGTTTAAGATCTATCAAAGGAGAAAATTGAAAGAAACACCCAGTAGCTTAGTCTGTAGAACACCAGGGGCCTATTCCATGAAGTAACATTGACTTCAAATGTCAATCCAGAAATGTCAACTAACACAAACTAGCGGTAACAAAATAAAGACAAAACTCTGAGTGCTTTTAGGTTATTTTATAAGTGACACATTTTATCGACACTCAGTTTCTCTTTTTCTCTCTGCCTTTCTTTATCGTCACTTCCTTATTATTTCTAACTAATTGTCAATATCGCTTCATTGAACCTAATACAAATGAGCTCGATCAGTCTGATCTTCATCCCATTTGTCACCAATAAAATACCTGGAATATTGTATAAAGTAACATCAATTCCAAGATATTGAAGATATCCTGGAAAAAATGGCGTAGCAAAAACATTAAAAGTATTTTCAATTCCTAAAGCCTCAAAAACAGCAAAAGGGCCAACATTAAAATTAAATTCAGCAATCCCAAAAGAATATTTTTGTTTGCTTAACCAGTCATAAACTCCAACCATTTCCTCTCCAATTTTGACTTGTTTGTTTGAAATTATTTCTTTGAAGATTAAAAGGGATATTAAATTTTAATAACATTTATTACCTTCATAAATTCCTATATAAAATTTTATATTATAACTTTGAAATTCATTAAAAGCTTCTGAAAGACCTTCTTTTTTTATTATATTTTTATCCAATTTATTTTCACTTATCGGAACATTAATAATTAAATTAACATTCTTCGGGTCTACAGGATATCCACCTACACTTCGTGTATAAACTACTACATCCTGCAAATAAAATTTAAATAAATGGAATCATTGATAAAGAAATCGTCAACAGAATTAAGTAAAAAAATTTAAAAATATCTTCGTTAAGAGTATCACATTTATTTCCTTCGTTAGAAAATATTTTGGGGTTAGGGTCGTTTTGGCGCCGGGCCGTTTTGGCGCGAGAACAAAAAAGTGGCACTTAGGCAAGACCTAACTTCATAAAAATTTTTTCAAATCTCTATAACATCCTTGACTACCTGCTCCAGAAATTTCGTAATTTTTTATCAAATATTTCTGAAGTTATAGTCGATGAACCTCGAAAAATTAGGCATTTTTCAAAAAATCAACATTTTTGGCCACAACTTCCGAAATTCTTGATCAAAAATTCTGAAATTTTTGGAGAACCTAGATAAAGGTTTATTATTGCAAAATTTTATCATTTTTGATAACGAACTCGCTATCCTAAAACTCGCGCCAAAACGGCCCAGTCCCAATATTTTGAGGAATATAGTGAAAATTGAGGAAGAAAAAAATCTGACCATTATGTAAAATATTAGGGAAGAAAAAATAGAAAAAAAGGGGGAACCAGGCTCGGAATTACCAATCACTGTTTTCCCAATTCAACGAAGGATGTCCGAGTTTACTCGAAACCCGATTCCTAAACCCAGAATTTCGAAACCCGTCCCAACTTTGTTCTCAACTTGTGACATCTCTTTATTCAACATATACAGGTTTCAGAACCGTCTAAATTTTAGAGAGGATGCATTTTCAATTAAAATAAGCAGAAAAAAGATTATTTGAGAGAAACTGATGAGTTTTTAATTTTAATTTTATTTTAACCGATTACATATTAAATAAAAAGTAAAATAAGTATTTAGTTACTATTTCATATTCTTCAGATAAGATGTTGGCCAATAATTTCTGAAATTTAATTAATAATTTAAAAATTTAAAGATTCTTGTCGGGAGACGGGCTTCCCGACAAATTGGATTTTTAGGATCGTGGCACCAGACTGTGTTGGTTGTGCCAACACAGTCAAATAACAGAAGGAGAACAGTAAGTGAACCTCGAGGCGGTTCACTTTTCCACTCAAACAAAATACAACGACAAGTCAACAATAAATTTACTTCTTCCACAAAAAATAATAGCCAAAAAAACAGAGCAGTAAAATAAATCGAGCACTAATTAAACAAAGGTAGAAGCCGCGGATCAGCCAACCAAAAGATGAGAGTTGAAATTGAAAACTGGAAGCGGTTGAAAGTAAAAACTGGAGGTGAATGGTAATTTTTGGGGGGCTGATCCTCGGCTTAAATAGAGATTAAAAGAGGGCGGGTCTTGGCAAAAAACTCAAAAAATGCGAACTTGAAAAATAATGCTTAATAGATTATAGAAAACCAAATGTGTAGAGAGAACGGGGCAGAGAAGACAATCGGAAAAAACAATAGGAAAAATTTAAGTTGTGACAGGCGCAAACTGTCACTAAAAAATAGAGAGAAAAAATTTTGGCGGGAAAAAGGTTTAAAAAGATTGAGTGGACAATGAAAAAAATAAAGGGTGAACGGCTAAAAAATTAACGAGGAGTGAACGGGGGACAATTTAAAAAAGAGACAATTCAATGAAAAGTCGCCAAAATTGGCGACACTCCCCCCGGCCTAGAAAAATCCCCAAAATCATAACAAAAAAATAAATATTCAACCATCCCGTTTTTCTTCATTCTTGGGCCATATTGAAGAACCAGACGGAAGATTTTGAGCCATGTAGAGAGCTGTGGATGTGAGAAGGTGCATGGCAGTTTGACGTGTTGTTTCATTAGCATTTAATAATAATGTGGCTGGGTTGGGCAGGCTAGAGACGATATTGATGGAATGACCCCGCACTATAGACAGTTTGATCGGGGGTGGTGGTGGATTCTTCTTTTCTTTAACTACGATTAGGTCGTCGGTGCTGGTCGCTACATTACGTTGTTTTGCATGATGGCGGTGGTGGTGACGCGTCCTTTCGCTACTACCCCTTTTTTGAGACTTTGGTGAGGGGCGACGCTCTACCAGCGGACTATCTCGTCGTCGACGTTGTCTCTCTGATGAACGACTTTTACGATGACGGCTTGGTGATTTACTTTCCTTTCGTTGTTTTTTCTCCGGTAGAAGTGCTGCCAAACCCACTCTATCTTCTTCAGCTCTCTTCAAATAAAAATCTGCGGTTCGTAGTGCTGCTGCCTTTTCTTTACGCAATAGCTGTGTTGTTTTCGGATCACGTTCTGTAAGTCCTCCTTTGTCAGGCAGTTTTGAGAATGTGCGATAACGCCAACCAGGACCTTCTTCGATAGCTTTCAATCTTTTTTCTTTAGAGTCCGTTGTTTCACCTCTCCTCTTCAACACTTTGACGGCTGCACGATGCGCGGTTTTAGCTGCTTCTAGTCGTTTGGGGTCACGAGCCAATGCTGCGTTTTCTTCATTTAATTTTCGATTGCCCTCAATTGCTGCCATTGCAAGTTGAGAAGGTTTAGTCTTAGCATCCCGAAATCCACGTTTTCGATCTCGATAAGATTTGAGTCGTTTTTTGTCGTTGATTTGTCGTTCACGCTCTATAGAAAGTTGTTGACTGCTGCTTTGTTTCTCGCTTGGTGGGGTCGCTTGTCCGTTGTCTGATTCACTAAAAATTAAGCCTTCATCCTCTTCCGGTGCCTCTTGTCGTTCGTGTTGTTGGTCGCTACTAACATTTTCTTCTTCCAGCTCTTCCACCACTTCATTAGTTGTTAATGCCAATCTTTCACGAAGTCGATTTATAGCCCATTTTGCTAAGTCCTTTTGGTCAACACTTCCACTAGAACTTAAATCAGCGTCTACACAAGCCAGTTCTTCCAACGGGTCACATCCTGGGGCACTGGTTATGAGTTTTGCAGCTTCCCGCATCACACCTTTCTTTAATTCTTGATCCATTTCACGTGTTGTTTCCACTGGGGCCCGTTCATTTTCCAAACTATGTTGTTGTTGTTTCTCTTGTTCCGGTTGTTGTGTTTTTATAAGGTTGGCGATGGCTTCTTCTTCCTCTAAAGCGGCTTGTTGATTTTGTTGTTGCACACTACCAGATTTAATCTTCTGCTGTTGTCTCCATTCCGAAAAATAAGGACACGCTTTATCACACGCTCGATGCCCATGAGGCTGCGGCACTCCCTTGCTGACACATGATGAACACCGTGTTGTTTTAGAAGGTGGGGTACTAGTCACTGTTGTCGAGGCTTTTTCTTTAATTGGTGCTGGTTCCATCGTTACTGATTGTAGAAATTTTAAAGTATTATGGCTAATTTTCAGATTATATAGAGCGACTTTTTCCATCACTTCACAATAAGGAGGCGGGGATGAAGATAGGTTACGTAACCTTTCTTTTAATCGGCGCAAGTTCAATTCAAAAGAAAATTTTATTGCCAAGCAGGTGGCTGGTGCAAAACTATCCAAATCAATGGCCAAGTTGAGCAGAGAAGACTTCTCCTTTTCTTTGTTTAAGCATAAATTAAAAGGGAACGTTTCTTTTGTATTTAGGGCCAAAAAATGAAAATTTTTCAAGTTTGGTGTGTCGATGACAAGCACATTTTCTTTTTCTCTTTTAGCTAGGCCAAAGAATTGCAATAATCGAGTGGCAAAGTCACCAGAAATAATTGACGAAAAAATGATGGGGGATCGGTTAAAGTTTAACTGTCGGTTGTAATCCTCCCAATTTAGACCCACAAACTGATATATAGATCCATAAACTGATATATATTGATTGGAGGAGTTGTAAAAAATAATCAAGAAATTGAGTCTTTTATCCATAGAGTAGCTTTTATTGTGTTCTATGCAGGAATCTATTGCATAATTGTGAGTTATCAGAGCTTTTATTGTGACTGGCTGTTTAATTACTTTCGATTTTAGTTTGTTCCTTTTGCACCCCGCAGTATCACTAATTTTTCCTCTAGCAGTCGCGGTAATTCCAGCTTGGTAAACACACCGGAACCTTCCAGCGGCCAAAAAGCTCATAATTTGGACCTCTGTTGCAGCCGCGGTAATTCCAGCTTGGCTAATAGATAGGATTTTTTCAGCGGCCAAAAAGCTCGTTTTCGAATGATTTGTAGCAGCGGGTGTGGGTGACCAGATAGTTGATACCAAGGCTACTATTACAGTCGAAGCAAGTAAGTCACGTTGCTGTTGGGCTCTGCGTTCTCGTTGCCTGGCGCATTCCCTCAATATTGTCAGACCGAAATTCAGCACGAACAGAGCCACCAAGACAAAATATGCTAACAATACAATTCCATCGGATAGTGTATTTTCAGGTTTATTTTCAAGGTTTGAAATTTTCAGTACTTTATGATGTGCGTGACTTTCCTGAGCATGTCCGCCGCTAGTAACCATAAGTAATAACATCGCCTTCGTAAATTTCGTTACATTATCAGGTCTATGACCTTGTTGCAGAAAAAGCCAAGCTGCCAGCTTATAGGCTCGGTAAATTGGTGAGAATTTGATAGCCACGTACAGCGCGAATAGTCCAACTACCAACGCAAACACACACATAAGTAAGAGTGGTACACTAGCCCATAGTCGAATAATGGCGAACGGGTCGAAACTAAAGTCCATTGGCCAATTCCAGCCTTCATCCGGTTCAGTTTCCAATCGCTCGGACAGCCTCTGTTTATGTCCAAATTGTCGTTTAAGCGGGATATAGTGTAGTTCAGCAGAAATGTTAAAGGACGTCTCGCCGGCTGGACAGTCAACCATACAATTACTAGCGATTAAGGACCGGTCAAATGGTAAAACTATCATTTTCTCTGTGTTATTGGTGTTGCATTGAGTGGCAAATACTACACCATCGTCACATTCGACTTTAGCAAGGGCAGTTCCCCAATCCGTACGACATTTATAACGCAGTTGCGCGCCCGTAGGGCACTTGTAACAGCCAACCAATGAGATAGGTTCGATCCAACATTTTGAGTCCCGGAATTCCAAAATAAGTTGTAGGTCTTTCATTTGCACATGAAGTTGAACT